CTCATCACGAAACTTCAGCAGTTTGTGCACCGCATCTCGGGCTCGGTTCAATGCATTGGCTGATTCGACCTTGGTAAGATGAACAGCTTCTTCCATGAAGTAAAGCTCGCATAAAGACACGTGCAATAATAACCTGGAATTGAAGAAATTGATCATATGAATCAAGTTTGACAACGAGAAATCAGTATTGAACACTATTGTTTTGTAATTGAGGNNNNTGAGGCAAAGAAAGAGATATCATTATAATTATTAAAGAGCTATGATTCTTCTTTACACTTCTTCATATGTTGACTCAACAGTTCAGACCATCGAAGGACAGATGTTGCATGCAGCTCGTTCAGTCTGTGATATTCTGACTCAATGAGGTGTAATTGCATGGACGCCTGCGATGACATGTTCACACCTTGGGACGGATCAGTCAGGTTTGAATTGGAACAATCAATTAAAGGCTCACATAGAAATGTTGTTTCTACGGAAGAGTATAACGTCTTAAACGCCGACTGTAAAGCGATTTCAATACGACGCATCTGCTCCAGCAATTCGTTCCAGTCTGAGCGCAGCTGCACAATACGATCTTCAAGTTCAGGGTTGGATGCGGTTCCGCATAGCTCAAGTAGCGATTCTAGCTCGTTTACAATTTTCCTCCCCAGCATCACACCGGCTTCATAATCTCTGAACAATTGATGAGTGATGCCCAAATTTGCATCCACCTGCCATTGCAGACAATGGGTAAGCACCGAGGAAGCAGAAGGTGAAGTGTGCGGCAACAGGCTGCGTTCATGATTGGAGACAACAAAACCGGCTATAAGGGGGTAAGATAAGCCTGGCACGAGATTGCGTATTATTTTTCTGAGACACCTTCGAGGTAACCGGTTGCGAACTCGAGCAGCAAACTGCGCACAGTGTCCGAATCTATGAAAATTCATTGAACGAAGACACTGAAAGAGTGGAAAAGCCTGGAACAAAAAAATCGGAGAAAAAATTAATTCCAGAATATGCCCATTATGACGTGAGGAAACAAGTTCATGTGCGAACACTTATTTTCACTGATTCACCTTCTAGCCTGTACAGATAATAAAAGGAAATGACATGTTAAACGAGGATAGATAAATAGTCGCTCGACGGTCTCAGTGATTGGTTGGAGAGAGATGAATGTGGGGTGAGTGACGCGATGTGTTTCACTCCATTAGGTCACCACAATGCTACAATCAGGTTGTGATTCCTCATCCGTGCGGTAGATCTTCAGCCACGGCAGGTGAATGGTATGGACACAGATTGAATATGAACAAACGAATGCCGATCGCATCCGAAGTAGTTAGGGTGTGGAGATGCAGCGACTTGGATCGTTGAGGTGGTACTCGATAGACAACTTTAGGATCGATTTAGGCTTTACTTGGTGACCTGAGTCTGCTAGGTGAACGAGAACAGTGTTTCCCGTGACAACTTCTCCACCGTGTTGAAGCTAGTGGATAGTGCTGGGACAGTTGCTTCGCCGTTCGGCCAACGCAGGTTGCGTCACAGACGCAGCTGAAGGAATAGATAACCGTAGATGAAAGCAGCTTAGGTAAACTGTCTTTATTGGACGTTCTTATTATTGGTGAGTCTGTGAATACGCATGACGAACTGGAACCTTTATTGAATCAAAGCACGCGCCGTCTCCAAATCAGATCAGACAGGTCATTCCCTTTGAATGGCAGTTTGATAAACACCTTCTTCGCAGCTTCTTGAAGGTGGTCGTGTTTCAGCATTTCTGCTAGGTTTTTTTCGATAAACCCTTCAAGGTATCAGTTTCCCCTAGAATGTCTTCAGCTTGATCAAGTTCATCTGCGAACGTGGATTCGGAGCATATCTTTCGTGCATACAGGACAAGACACCGAGTAAGCTGTCTCTTTGAACCTTGGTGTACTGTCCGATTCACGTTTCTTTTCTGCACATCCTTCTTTTAGGCGGTCTATCAGTGTTCCTATGCAGAGATACGTCAGGTTATTAGTTAGTTATTTTTCTCTGACTCCAGGATGACATCGGTAAAAATCTGGCGGGCACGTTTTATCAGACCAGGATGCTTGAAAACGTGTGTGCACAGTTGGAATGCATACATTGTGCCTCCTAAAGTCACAGTATGGTCGGATGGGTGTCTAAGGTTGTGATTGGTCACAATTCCCTTACATCTCGCGAAATGTTCCTGTACGGCTAAAGTGGAATTGGCCGCAAACTGGGAAGCAAAAACCTCTGCTTTCTAGAGTAGTTGACGTAAAAGATCACCAGAGGAATAACAGATAGGGAGGGGAGGTTGGAAAGGCAAAAATTACGGGAAATTGCATTGGCAAGGGACCAAAATGTTCGGCTACCGGTGGTGGATGAGACCAAATTTTCGGCTTTATGGCGGACGAAGTGTTCTTTAGTTCTCTGAATGGTCGCCGAGTGTCTGTTCTTAGCTTGCACGAAGCGATTGTGGTAGTGGGAGGGGGTGAACGAACGGCGCCAGCGGCGGAAAGCAGGACGTTTTAAGCGTACAGCACGGTTACATATATGGTTAAACCACTCAGGGGATTTGGGTTTGTCGGGTTCAGAAAAGTGCGGAATAAAAAGATGCATGCGTTGAAGAATGTCAGTGAAGTTTGAAACGGATCTGGAAACACACGAAGTGAAAAAGCAATCGTTCCAGGGATGAGCAGTTAGTAAATTACGGAAACCGTCCCAGTTGGCTGAGTTGCAGCGCCAGAATGTGGCTCGGGGTTTGAAAACCTAATAGAA